ATCCGAGGGCTATTTACCTCAGATAGCCTTAGACAGGCTGATCCAATCCGCAAATCCATATCCAACCCGCACAGATATGGATAACCCATTCGGTGCACGTGAATAGGGTCTTTAAGGGACTGATGAGCTTATCTAACCACATCTAGGCCTAGATAGGCCGATTATGCAGCCATCAGCATGGATGGATGTCTTAGTTCCTTGCCTAATAAGATAGATACCAATAGTAAGGGGCAATGCACATCATGGCGTCCTCTCTGATCGGTCCTCATATGTTGGGTTCTGGATGATCCGAAAATCTTTTAGTAGGTTCACTTTGGACGCTTGATGTTGCAGTCTATGTATATGAATAGATGGATCTGACTCCTACTGTAATTGCATTCGCGCTGGCATAGCTATCCAGCATGAGCTTCATAGACTCAATAATCGGGCTGGGACAGATCAACTGTAAGAAGTAGTGTTCTAGACAGCTACTACCCCAACGCCAAAAGGTTCCAATGACGTTTCCTCTTGGAATCGTCAGCCTAGAACATACGTATATCCCACCAAACCCCTAGGCCTCCCTGCCCATGACATCAACACGCATTGCAAGCGACAGATGCACGGGCTCCCTCAAATCCTGTTTGATTGAAAGCCCATGTCTTATAGCCATGCTTGATAAGCCGGACTGCTTCCTCTACAGGCGGACCTTGATCTGCTGCCCGATATCTGGTTATCAGTCCACCGAGTCTCTTCCTTCGGGCTCATTCTGCATAAGACCGAGTAATTCCATCTGGCGCTCACTTCGAACGTTTACGTACATCATTTTTATGTTTATGCCGACCATTTCGTCTGAAGATTTGATAAATAGAAGGCTCCAGGTCCCCTAGTGTTCAATTGTGTTCGACAGCTCTCACCGAACGGCAGGCAGTGAGCTTACATGTCGCCTCCCAGCACTGTTCCCCGAGAGTACCTCATGATGCAAGAAAATAACCACTCTTCGAAGGTACTGTGATCACTCGGCTTCGTGAATACAGCCATTGACATACTCCACAGGAGACAAGCACTACTGTGACGACTGTGCCAAAAGGAGAGCCAGACTCGGAGGATCCAATTTATCAAGCAAAAGAACGATATCGACAGGCACTCCATTCACTGATCAACCTCATCGCTCATGGAGACAATGACAGTATCAACAAGCTCTTGGAGTTTCTACGGAAGCAAGAGACCATCCATGAGACTGTGCAAGAGGTGTTGCAGTTGAAGTTTCTTTTGGAGTAGTCGTTCCATTTGCCACTTACTGTAGCTTGTCTACATCATGTTCGCACTTTCTATGGGGAACGGAAAACTTTTCCTTGGGAAGACATTTGACCGCGTATTTTGGAGTGGCTTTTGCGAAATAAGTTGGGGTGGGCCTTGATAGCATATCTGGAAACTTACGATGTCTGATGCATCATTTTCGGGTAGGTGGATGTGTAGAAAAGGAAATTCATTCAATCTCGCCTCATGCACCATCTGCATTAGCTGGTGCGCTTGGACTACTCCCCATTTGCTGGAAGTTTTTTCCATCCATCAGAGTGCGAGCTGCTCATCGGTGCTCGAGCGGTAGCTGTCTTCTGTACTGTGCTCTTGCAGCATTATTGAAATAAACATCAGTTGTTTTCCCCATAAAAATCTATTCTACTCATCAGCACCACGACGTGGACGATATTGTGGTGCACCGCCATCTCAGCCACCCAAAGCCCTACCTGGCTAGACCCAAGTTGTCAGCAAAAGTACTGTGCTCTAGCTTTGCAGCAGATCAGAGCATCAGCTATCCAATGACGGCAGATGTTTTCTTCGCAGAAGCATCGCACGCCCATCTGCCAAATACTTCCCTACCGACGAATAAGGAGTGCAAAGTCCTCGAAGGACAGTGAAATTCGAGAGCAATGCGAAGTAAGTGACGAATTTGTGTTCAACCTGACGATCATCTGCGGAGAAAGTCAGCTCATTAGCACAAGCTCCGGCAGCTCGACAACAAACGAGGCAACTTCCTTCATTTCATTAATAACATTCGAGATCGTCCGGCAATTCAGACCATAGAAGTACCCAAGTTACTACACAGTAATGCTAGCTAGAGGATGTGCGAATATGTTGAGCAGGAGGTCCGGCGAGGTTCATGGGAGAAGAGGCCCGAGCTGATAGAAGTCCCGTAAGAGCTCCTGACTTCGAGTCGAAGGCCGAGTATCAGTCAATTAACCCCCTGTATTCTGTGCCTGCGAAGACACGACTACTCCGAGACTTGCGCATCTCTGGCGAGCTTAGCTTGAAAGGTGTGCTCGAGGCACGACGTCAGCACGAGGAGGTTGAGGGACGGCTCGATACCTTACATATTTAAGGATACGGTAGTCTATTATTTAGTTTGTTGGCATGCTAGTTATATATCCCTGACTGATTCATAGTGGCTAATGATTCCTAGTAGGGTTTCGATGAGTAAGGATAGGGTAGGATTATCATTCTACTCCGCTAGGTAAAACGGCCAAGAAACATGCAGCTCCTGAACTGTACGCCACGAAGCGTTGTCGAACTGTATACCCTGGGTTGGCCTTGTCTCGCAAAAGGGCCCCTGTTGAGGAAATGCTATGATATTGCAGGTTTCAACCAGCAGAGCGCCATTACCCTGCCTGCCGAGACGGACGCGCTCCTCATCGACCTGGAGCAGCGCATCTGGAGAAGACAGTAAAGACAAGCTACAGAGTCTGTATCTAACCCGCTTCTACTAGTAGTTCGCCTGATCATTCCAGTACAACGTGCCATGGTGCACCTCAGGACCGGTAGCCCCAAACTCCCACCCAAACTTCAATTTCACCCACTGCATCAGGTGTGCGGCAACCTTCAGATGTCCAACATCCGTGGGATGCCACTGCGGCGCGATATCGTTGTGCTGCAGGATCCCCGTCGTGTCAAAATAATGGATGAACCCTTGCTTCTCGTAATGCTGGTAAACTCGCTTGATCTCATCCACCCATATAGGGCCCTGCACGTATGTATCCCCCGAAGCCCCGAAACCACCCCACAGCGACTGCCATCATTAGCATGGTACCGTACCTACTCTGTTGAGGATTTCTCACCATAAGAACGATATTGGCCTTGGGCCAGATTTTGTGGATGTTGCCCACGAGAGCGACGTAGTCATTGTAGTAGTCTGTGCTTGAGACATTGTTCACCTGGTTGTTGTCGTTTGTGCCAATGTTGATTACCACCAGATCAGCTGGGCGTTGAGCTGCAAAGTTCCACTTGGGTGGATTGTCGCCGTAGATCTCGTGCGCGCGCCAGGATGTGTCGGAGGTGCGGTACCATTGGTAGGTCTGATGGTCAGCCTGGAAGACGACAATGCAGGCACTGGCTTACCTGACCGCGGGGATTTCCCCAGCAATTCTGATCGTGGAGGCAGATACCGGGATAGGCCTTGCCGGTTAGAACGGTAGGGAGCAATGTAGAAGAGAACGTACAGTAATGGAGTATTCTACGTTTCCTAGTCCTGCTGCGAAATCATATGCCCATGAAGACAGTCCTTCGTATGTAGCGAAGTCGCCGGAGCTCAGTCTGGAGAGATCAGTATGTGTGACTTCCTGGAAGATGTGCACCTACGAGTCTCCGATAATTTCCACCATTTTCGGGTACTCGGGGACCTTGGAGATCTTTGCATCTGCCGCGACGGATACACCGGCCAGCTGGATTGTGCTTGTGGTCAGTAAACTCCTGCTGTTAACGGAGCCGGGAAACGTATCCATATGCCCAGTTTGTAACTACCAGCGTTAGGGAGAGCGTTATATGAGCACCCGGGACGTGCCTTACCTCTCAGCTCAAAAGTCTTTGCGTCGCCGACGTTGGTGAGTTTGAGCCCCGTCGACGTAGGCCCAATGAATTGATATGTGGCATTAGCAGTGACATTGGAAAATTGCCAGTCCTGGCCACCCAGTCTGTGGACAAATTAGCCTTGCAATAGATCTGGGATCCGACATATGTACCTGTATGCCACGAGGACTCCTTGACTGGTGTATTGACCAAAGGACAAGGCGAGCTATCCTGTCAGTCTTCATCATCTCATTTCCTGAAAGCTCTCGTACCTTTTCACCAGTAAATGCAAGCTTGAATCCAGGAGCTCTAGGAAATGTGAATTAAAGTCAATTACAGCGACTGTTGTACATACGACCACCCTATCCATATCAGTGCTTTTGCTTTCTCTTGAGCTCAACGTTATAGAACTCACAAGAAATATGCTTGTCGTCCCACCTCCCCTTGTAGGAAATTTCGTTTACTCCAGGCTTGTAGGTCTTCCATGCCTTTTTGTCCAGCGAAATAACCTCGGCTTGCCCCGGATACGGATTCAACCGCGCCTGGCCATTCTCAAGAATCGTCCCAGATGCAGTGAACAGCCAGGTGAAGAACAAAAGGAATGTAAGAGCTCGCATTTTGACAGGCCACAATTCTCAACGTACTGAAGTGGGTTCAACTAGTCTACGTTTGCATCTCTTTTCTAATATATATATATATCCTCATACATAGTTCCCCGCGCTCTTAATATACAACGCGCGGGGCAGTCTGCCTCAAGTACCATATTCTCGTCAGACTACTATGGAGGCCGACGGGGCAAAGAACATGATTGGCGGCTGAATTATTTCCTGCAATATACTGAGGGGTATAGGTAGTATACATTGACGATCACTGGGAATTCAGCCTGAACAGCGCAGCGGCATTTTTCTCCGTGCTCGATTGGGAAAAACGCCGTTTCTGCCAGTGTGCATATGTCAGCTACCAGCAGAAATACTTCATTTGTCTTTGAATATCGGTAGGAAGCGCAATCGTCAGTGTCAGTCTGCACACTTCTTCATTGCTGAACTGGCTACCACGTCATCGAGTGTGTCGACCTTCTATTCCTCACGCTCAACCGTCAGAATAAAACTTCATGAATCGCTGCTGTAGCCAGGAATGATGAATGAATCCGACACATAAACGGCAATGGATATACCAGATCACGACTAACGGAGACGGACGCGCCACTGAAACGGCTCAAGCTCGATGGTTTTCTTCGGATCCTCATCCCAGTCCACGTTAAGCCCCACCTCTCGTAGCCTTGCGACGATTTTCCTGCCGATATTCACCGCGCTCTCGTCCGTTTTATCTTTTTTGAAAGCCCCGTATCGAAGCGACAGTCCCGCGCCCTCGGCTGCTGCCTCTGTATCCTGTTGATGGAAGAAGCAGTACCCGATGTGTGATTCATCTGCCTCCCCGCCAATCTCGGCAGTGCCGCAGGTCTGACAGCAGGTAAAATTCATACGACAAATGATGTAATCCTCGTCTTCTAAACGGGAGAAAGCGTCTTCGAGCTTTTCAACGTCGGTCGGTTCATCGGGCCATCTGGCCACTTCTTCGAGTTGCTGGTTCCAGAGTGATTGTATCAGCTGTTGGACGACGGTTGTGCCGTGCTCGGGGAGTTCGTAGATCTCGATGAGCTGTTCGAGAATTTCTTCCTGGGAGTAGAGGCCGGTGAGGACCCGTACACGGGCGTCCTGTGTGATGTTGTTGATATTGGACGCGTTCATGATGACGGCTGACTGAGCATCAGCAGTGGATGGGTGTTTCGTAGATAAATTTCCGTTGGCTTGTTTTTAGACCGAATACGAGGTCCCCCACCATGGCTTTTCATGTGCCTCAATGGGAATAGAGTTTGTCAGATTTACAGAAACCGATAAGAACTTCAGAAAGCTTGTTGATGGCAGGCACGGAAAGAATAAGTCACATTCATAATAGGCCGTTATTCAGGTACTGATATACCCACAGGATGATCATTTCTTCGCCAGCGACGCAATCTTCTTCTTCGTCTGCTCCCCAACGCTCTTCTCATCCCAGATAAAATTGACACTCTCCTGCTGGACCGTCGCCTTGGCCCATTTCGTAAATGCCGGAGTTCTCTTCTCCAGAAGCTCAGGCAAATCCGCTGTCAACAGTCCATGTTCAGGCTTATGGAAGGAGAGCAACCGCAACAGGAACGAACCGGTCAACACCTCCGCCAGTGTTAACTTCTCGCTGCCGCCGAAGAACGGCCCGGATCCCTTCTGCGAGGCCAGAATGGGTTCGATCTCCTTCTCGATCGACGCAACGATAGCCTCGCCCGCTGCAGCGCGGTCCTCGTCGCTTGTGGCGAAGTGAGAGGCCATAACCTGCGGCTGGACCTTGCTGAAGAAAGTATCGACGAAGAAGGCGATGCGGGCGCGCTGGAGGGCTCCTTCGACGCTGTTGGAGGGGGGCACGAGGTGGGATGGATGCGCGTCTGCGAGGAACTGGGCGACGATGGCCGACTCGGTGATGATGTTGCCGTTGTAGGAGATGGAGGGGACGAGGCCGCGCTGTAGCTGTTAGAGTGGGCGGTCTGGTCATAGAGCGCAAAGGGGTTCCTACCGGGTTGATCTCAAGATACCATGGCTCCCGAGGTGTGTTCAGATCGATGATGACCTCCTCGTAGTCAAGGCCGAGCTCCTTGAGGGCGATATGCGCTCTGTGGGCCCAGGGGCATTTGTGGTTGGTATAGAGGGTGATTTTCGGAGCGGACATGTTGCTGGTCTGTGTTTCGCGGATGTTGAGATTGTTGATAGCCACAGAGTGTGTGTCTTGCTTGATTTATAGAGGAAGCACAGCAATTGCTTTGATTTATAAGCCTGCGGGATTGCCCATGGTGAGGAGAAATGACGATAGATACGAGCGGAACGCGTGGGAATTGTGGAGAATAACGCCATTGCTTATCAATACATTCCCCGCTTAATCTTATTGCCGGCACATTCATCAACAATCAGGTGAAAAGGTCACAATGAGCCTGTTCGCATGATCTGAGATACTCTAAAAGGTCAGCTTGGAAGCGCCGGAGTTTACAGTGACGGAAAATGGTGTTCAAACCTACAGAGGTCTGGGGATAGTAGATGATGATCCAGAAGGAGCCTGCTTCGAGTAGTAGATTAGAGTACCATCCACTGTAGCCTTGCAGTAAGATGCCTTTTAAACAACATGAAGATGAGATGGGAGTCAGTTTATAGCGACAAGAGCCTTGCAGAGACCCCTGTAAGTGTTGGGTTCTTGTCTCAGGTAAGCTTATTGTGTTTACGTCTCCACATGTGTCAGAGCTCCACAAGGCTGCTACATAGAACTGATTCAAGGGACAGTTTATCGATTCATGATTAGTTATATTATATCAAATCTCAAAGACCTATATAAATAAAAACACCAATACCTGCTCCGTGAACAATGTAAGCCCTCATGGTACTTCGAGCCGCAACAAAAGATATATATCGCATCGTCCTCCTGACATTATATTATTTTCAAAGAGCGCCGGCGCAATAAAACTCATAATTTTCCGTAAGTCGTGCATTCAATGTTCGTTTCGAAGACACAGATCATCGAAGGGCCAGGTACTGAGCAACAGCCTCGTGGTGAACGGCTTCAGCGGTGTAGTCCTTTGCTGGAGACTTCTTGCTTGGAAGCTTGGGATCTGAGGGCGCCTTCACGGCAGCCTTCAGCTTCAATGACCTTGTGAACATGCCCTTGAGAGTTGAGGCTGTTGAGGACGATGTGTGGGTTGAGGCGCTGTCACGAGTGGTGGTGGACTTGAAGGACTTGGGCGACATTGTGACGCAGTTATGATCTCTGAGGACTCGGGTGGTTTGTATTTTGGATTTGTTTCGATTGATAGTGCTCAGAGGGAAGGATCTGCTTTGCAGTGGCCGCGTAGTTTATGGATAGAGAGTGCTTTTATGATATTGTTGTTTCACTTTCGAGAACTCAAGGTAGGCAATTGAGAGGATCACGATTGGATTGAGATGACTGTTTGTATGATGCTTGATGTAGATGCTTGGTATAGAAGACAGCTCGTAACAGAGATCTTTGGCTCTTTATATACATCTTTCCTCCTTGAGGCAGAGTATCGATATCGCTCGTCTCCATGGATGACAAACTCTCCAAATATGACAAACACAAAGAATGACGCAAATTCAAGTCTCGACTTAATGTGTGAGTAATAGGCAGAATCACCTGCAAATGCTGCAAACCAGCCACAATGGAGTCATCGGGGCCTGATTTTGGCATAGCTCCTCGTATCTGGTCCACTGCTGCTGCTGGTTAGCTCGATGCCGAGCATTCAAGGGCGTGTCAGAGATCGGTGAAGGTGACTCAGGCTGCAAGTCGAGTTAAAATACGAGGAATATTATTAAGCGCATCAGTCTAGTTCATTTAGGATATAAAGTTTGCATGGCTTCGTCATTCGTATACAGTTGATAATTTTGGCGGGCTTGATCAAAGTATGGTACCGCATCTTTGGATTTCTTTGAATGGCGCCATGGGCTTATTAATAGCCCTTGAAAAGTCTGTTTACCCAAGGAGAAATCAAGTTACTGCAAAATATAGCCAGGATATCTTCCTTCGGAGGGTCAATGTTGGTAAGCGACTCCAGACCCCATGTGTCTATCCCCATATTCATGTGGCAGTGCATGACTCAATATTCGGCATCAGTCCGAGAATATTTGCTACCCTCAATTCGTCGATATTTCCCTATTTGAAATGTTCCCACGAATACGATCTAAGGCCTACCTGACCCATAAGTTCATTGATCGAAAACCTCAAGCTTCCAAGAATGCCTGTTCTTCGACAGCGATTTCGGAAGCTGCTGAGTTATTTTGCCAACAATTACAATGATTGTTACTTGTGCTTACAAGCTGGTCTTTGAAGATAAGGAGCAGCCTGCAAGCGTAGACGCCATACTCGCATTGACACTATCCATGGGCAGTAACGAAGCAAGCCAGTGCATGTGGGTTGCCAAACTTCAAAATCTACGATCGTTTCATAGAATCAAAAATTGTTCTTGAGAGAGGAGTTGATTAGCACGACAGGTCTCGTTACAGGCTAGGCATATTTCTGCGAGAGAGCATGCAGTCTCTCCCTCGCTCCGTTCTCCCAATCATCCCAACACAAACTCAACATCGCCGAGTGACGACCCGGCCCAAGCCGTTTCTGACCAGTCGGGTCCATCTCAGGCATTTTGTCGTCGATGACACCGTCGGAATTTCCTATCTTGCCCTCTGGTAACACCCGTTGCCAGCGAATAATGCCCTCCAGCTGGAACCCGAGGCGCTGCGCCGCGGCAATCGAGGCCTGATTGGTGCTGAAGGCCTGCCACTGGACGCGTCGGAGATGGAGTCCATGAGGTGGAGGATCCAACACATGGTTTATAAGGAGTGTGTGAGCTGTCGTACCGACCATCGTTCGATGGAACCGTGGAAGGATCACGACCTACGCAGGTAAGCAGGCTTACACGGCAAGTAAGCAAGAATACCTACATGTCCCACCTCGACAACAGAGTTATCTGGATCCGCCCTGATCAGGCCGGTGGTCCCTGCAAAGGTACCGTCATCCACTTTCAGTTCCTCAAACTCGTCGGAGCCAGGCTTTCGCTTTCTGATGATGCCTGCTTTGAGGATGATGGCGAATATGATAGATGCCTTGCTGGAGCGGACGCGATTGCTATACCACCGGTCATATGCGTCGGCACTTTCGAAGGGTCCATAGGGAAGATATTGGAAGATCTCGGGAGTTTCCGACGACAATTTCACAAATGTCGCTGACAGCTCCTGGAAATTGGACTACACCTCTGAGGTTAGTAGTCGTAGCAGGTTGAGAGATAGCGAGCTATTACATCAAATGGGACTAGCCGGAGACGGTCATTCTCCAGTTTGGACAAGTCCAGCGGAAAGCAGAAATTGTCCATATTGAAGGATTCGCAGGCGTTATCGAGCGTACAATGTACTGTGACTACTGTCAGACTGTTGACGGCGTCAGTCGATCTTCCGTAAGAGTCAGTCCTTTGTATTTCTCCTGACGGTGTATGCGGCGAAATCGGCAGTTTCACATGCTCCGATTGACGGGACGTTATGACTCGTAGGGCTGCGATGCTGTGCGCCAATAGTATCAAAAGATCAAATAAAGAAGAAAAAACCATCTGGCCACCAACGAGGCTTTTCTAGGCCGAAAAGTCTTGGCATGCTGACTAGATAGATGGGGGGCTATGACAGATTGTTGCTTGCTCGTATTGAATGTGGATAAATGCCTGCTTTCGGTCTACTCGTTTCAGACCGCAGAATTGTCATTTAGGGGGCATGCTGCATCGGAGTCATCCTATACTGTGCTTGTTTCCTCAACGTAATATCAATTGCGGCAACGGAACTTGACCCTCGCGCCTTGCATTGCCAACTTCGAAAAGCGAGAATGAATATCAGAAAAATAAAACATAAGGCCACATAGTGCCCCAAACCCCGAGATATGATGCTCATCCTGAGATGTTGCAAAACAATGACGACTTGTAGATCGGAGAACGAATCGCAATGAATATGGCGAGCATGATGGCAACGCTGCAACTAACAACAAGGCCACAGCTAATACTTGTCCTGCACTGATCCATAAGACACCCCATTGAACTGAAGGTTAAACAAAATAGACGCAGAAGTAGGTGTTATGGCAATCTGATAAGGGATTGATACTGCAGGGTTAATAAAATTACTTAATAAATTAGAGGAAAGCCTCATAAGCATAAAGAATTAACACTTATGAGAGAAAAGCTCTACATAAAAGCAGCTAAGAAGTGCCAAGCTAAGAAAGTTGAGTTTATGAATAACTAGTAGAGATCATCTTATAATAAATATATTACTAGGAATGAGTTTAGGGAGTATGATTAGATATATCTCTTTATAATCTGCCACAAGTATATGCCTAAAAGAGATTGTTTATGCAATAACCTCGTTACTAAAGCCTCAATTAGTAGTAAGATTAGAAGACAGTGTCTACAGGATATGGTGAATATCCACATCTTAAATAAAAGAGTGGCATATTATCCTGGTGAATCACTAATTTACCTCTTGCCACGTCATCATATCGCTCCAATTGCCGCGTGATCTTCTGAAGGTTCGGGAAGCCACAATGAGCCAGGACGACTACACTGGCGTGATACTTTTCTACGGGGCTGCCTATGCTTGTGTGTGTGTGTGTGTGTGTGTGTGTGTGCCTTTTTTATCCTATCCAGGGGCGTGAACGCTGGTTGCAGACTGAGTGTTCTCTAGACTTTTCATGGTTGTTCTGGCTCAGCTCACTAATGTCTTCGTACATTCAATTCTACTCCATACTATATCGTTGCCAAACCCCTCTCGAAGTACTGAGACAATAAGCTCAATGGAGTCGAAGTTATCATATGTCCTGATGAACCGCCGCAAATCACATGGGTTGCTGGATGTAGCCTGATAATTTCACTCGTCCAGCAAACTCTACCTGACCAACATAGCTCACCTCATACAAAGTGCGAATGGGCTGATAAACATGCGAGTATATTGTAGACGATACCGTATACTAATTAGGCGGTGTCTTTGTCTCACTCCACTTACACAGCTTCAGAAGAAACCAACAGGAAATACGGTTTTTGTCTCTCCGCGGCATATTCTGGCTGTTTGACAGCATCTTCCCTCGAAATGGTCCACTCTCGCAAATCAATCAATGCAAAGCCATTCTCCCGCAAAATTCTCAGATAGGTCTCCAGCGTCCGATGATACTTTTTCACCCCCTCAACTCCAAGCCAATTGGTATACCGGGGTCCCTCTTCCTCATACGAATTGAGGGGCCAAAACATGCCCTGTGCGCCATCCCTGTCATCCCTGGGCATACGTTGGAATGCAGGTCCCGGATCCACTGGTGCGGTGGCGACGGGATGTTCAATAGAAAAAACCAGTCGCCCGCCCTTCCTGATACAGGACCGGATCTGCTGGAGCACCCTTGCAAAATCGTAGATGTAGTGGAAGGTCAAAGAGCTGTACACGATATCATATACGGCGGGTTCATTATCCAGTATGATCGTTTCGATGTCCGCTATGTGGTAAGATATAGAGCCTAATCCAGCAGTACCGTGGCTCAGCTCGAATGCTTTGGCTCGTTGGATCATATTTTCAGAAATATCGACAGCCTTGATAAAAGTTGCGCCAGACTCTCTAGCCCAGCGAGCAAACCAGCCATATCCGCATCCTAGATCAAGAACACTGTACTTCCTAAGCGTCTGATGATTGCCGAGGACCATGTCTTTGATGGTCGACCATTCTTTGGCAGCTGAAAGTCCCTCTTGCGATCGCGGCAGAGCCGCGTACGCATCAAAAAATCGGCTGTTGTCATAGATGTTCTGGGTAACCGGCGAAGACATAATGACAGGTAAAAGAGTGGCTTGGGATGCGTGTGGTTGTGGAGGGAATGTTCCTTATTTAACAGTCTAGGGTTCTCACAGGGAACTAATCCGGATTGGGTTCCCGCTACGAGGAAGTTTGGACCTGGATGGTGTCAGCCCTGACCAAAATTTTACGCAATCCGCTATTATCACATGTAGCAATCATAAAATGGATGACAGCGCGACCTAAAACTAAGATGTCTAACGTATGCGGCAAACGAGTCGGCCACCTCAGGCGTTCTGGCCCGGTCAAAAAAGCTCACTTAATTCAACCACCAACCATGCCTCCGAAAGCGCGTCGAAATTCAAGAAATTTAATTGAGAAAGAAGGGAGGATACTCCTTACTATTTCTGCTCTAAAAAATTAAGAAATTTGCAATATTCATGAAGCATCCAGACACCCTGCCCCCGCGGCAGTAGGATCTCGGCTGCTAGGGTTTAACTATTACTATTATTGGATTACTATACTGCATGTTCACACTGTTCTGGGTGCTATAGCTAAGTAAAACCCTAGTCATAGTGGATAATTTTAACTAGAGTATGGTAATCTTCAGGGGTGTGTTCATCCTTAGTTTAGTTATGTATACTATTAAGGGGAGGAGGGGGTACTATAGGCCAGTGATGATCATCTAAAGGGATTAGCCCTTATATAATAAGTTATCAAGCATTGTTAAGTAGATGACTTATAACATTTCACCCTCCAACTCGTGGTCCAGCAAACCGCCAAGGCACGCCAAGATTTCCGCAGCTGTACAGCCCAGTGACCAACACGCCTTTTGTTGATTCCGCCTCAAGATTGGTCAGTGCAGCGCTGCCAACACGAGCTGACCTCATACGTGCGCTGATCATCATGGACGACTATATATCACTCCTCCCCCGTTCCCTCACTCCCAGAAATGGTCTAACAACTTCGACCATGGCTCTAACAACCCTCTCAGATAACCACCCCGCCATCCTCTCCCTCCGCACCGCAGCCCTCCTCACCTCCGCCGCAGGCTTCATCTCCCTCGCCTGGTCCATCACACATCACAAGGGCATTTCCGATGACGGAGCGGGGAGCATCAGCTCCATCGTCTTGGGAACCGTACGGCCCCCACGACTCCCATCCTATCTCATCCATCTAACAAGACCAGATTGCATACGCCTTCCTCTGGTCCCTCGTCGCCCTGACAATACGACTAATCCCCCGCCGCATCCACCCGGGTATATACCTCGCCTTTGACCTGATTGCGTTTCTGGCGAATGCGATTACGGGGAGCATCGGGCTGGCGGTGCTGGCACCGGTGATGGAGGGCGGGTATAGCTGTTACTCTGCCGGTTGTGATGGGGATGCAGTGCTCCGAGTGGAGATATTTGCGTATATGGTTGTGTTTGTGAATGTGTAGGTTGACTCCCCTTGAGATGGAGATGGAGTAAGCTGATAGTGTAGGGTGGTCCATTTGATGCTTGTGGTTTGGGCTTCGTGGGCTTGTCATATTGAGAGGGGGAAGAGGACGGGGGAAAGGACGGGGAAAAATGGGTTGGAGGAAGTCGAGTTGTAGGGCTGATGATATCTATTTATGTCTAATGTCTAATGTCTAATTCTGGTCTTCATGCCTTTGTCATTTTATATATCATGTATATCAATCATATGCATCATCAAATGTTGGTAGGATCGCCAGGCGCCAGGCTGAAACCCCACTGTTCCCCCTCGTATTAAGCATTCCTGTGAGAGGCTGGGCATGAGCTTGTCCATTCCCTTCCTCAGCCAGAGATAAAAACAACAGGAGACACGACGCTTTTGCCCCTCGGTAGTGCAGAATCGAACTGTTGAAATCGCTAAGCTAGTAACGTTCATGGATCACTAGTAATTTATATGGCCAATTGAAAGTCAATGAAGGTCTGGTATTCTAAATGAATGACTATCTAGCTACTATTTATCCCTCTCGATAGCGGTGGAATTTGAAGCTATATGAACGATCGAATGCTATTGAATATTCGGCCAAGGGTGGCAGTGCTAAGCCAATTCGTAGTCTTCGTAATCGGGCAAGCGGTCATATAATTCAATACGAACTTTATTGTGGGGCCAGAATAACAGTCACTCTAGCAGAAATAAATGATAAAGGATGCTCATCCCAGGCCCCCACAATCAAGACAGCCTTGTCGAAACTATAGTTCGCAAGGCTCAGAGCCTCAAGGATAACAAGCTCAGAGAATATTGTATGGATCTATGATCAGCACTAGAACCAGCTCGGAGTGTGAGATAATTTAGTTGGATATACATTTATAGTTTTGAAGGGTGAAATTAACTTTTCTTCACAAAGTGTGGAATGTTACAAGTATATTTTTTTAGTATACTTCTAGTGTTACTATTTAGCAGCAATATGATCAACACAGTATTACTTTGCTAGATGAACCAAAGCAACGGAGGTAGTAGATGAGTGAATTAAGCATTAATACTAAATATCACTTATGAATAATTTAGGACCCCAACTCTCAATACTCTGTTCCTTGCCTGAGGAATGATGCTGCTTGTGTGGGTGAAGAAAAGGGTATCCCCTCTGGCGTAGGCAGATTCTTTACAGACTGTAACTGCGTCAGGAAGACTATAGGGAAAGGAAGATGATGTTTCAACGTACTGCTATAGATCGAGAAGAGATAGAATTGATAAAGCAGAGCTGAATGACCCAGAATCTGCTTTGTAAATGGAATGAACAATATCAAGCTTTACAGGGTCAGAGCCAGCTATGAATGGATGACCAGGAATGATACTGTCAAACTCACGCAAAGTAAATAGAAATAGACATCATTATACTATATGATTGACCACACAGATCATTTAATTGAATATAGCTGGACTTCGAATAGTTTGCATCCACTACTGATATATTAGCTATCTAACTAATAGAATTAGATAGATAGATTACCTTTATAATCACCTCTAAACTTATACCACGTCTCCAGCTCTGTGTAGCTAAATAATGGAATGTTAGACTAGAGGATATCACCCTGGACGCTGAGGGGTTCATTTATAGATAGATTAATGGTAATCTGCTTCTGGAGATGAGATACAAATTTAATGAGCTTGGTGTGTTTTGATGGCTTTAGGTATTAAGTGAGCTCCATCACCCTAAGAGAGATATTGTAGTCTAGCAGACTAATGCTGCCTTATTTACTTAGGCCATGGATAGATAGTGCAGTCATGGTTATATTAATAACTTCTTGGGCTGCATCTTGCAGTGTGACTTCCTCCTTAATGACTTTGTCAAGGAGTTTAAACTCAAACAGAGTTTTTAATTTATTAGATGAAGTTTTCTTTCCCCATAGTAAGGATTACTAGTAAATCAAAGGAAATGGTGTTCTTAAGTAGACTGAAAGTACAGTTACGATGGAGGAATCTGAAAGTAGAATCTTTAACTGACTGATTAATAAAGGAAGGATGACTACAAAGCCACCTCTGCCTCCTCGCAGGTATAGGCAAGCTCTTTACAGTGCTAGCTCCGGCAAATCTACTGTGAAGAATATACCACTCTGGAATCAAGCAGTTCAATTCAAGGTATTCGTTTCTTGGCGCGAAGTTGACAAAACAATGCCTTTGTCCAGGAAGAGTTCATTTGCTATTCAGGGATTGATGCCATCCCTAGTCTTTTGTACCGCCCATGACCCGTTTCCTCACCTCGTTGGAAGACGGTGTATTAGGTTTTATGCTCGGCCCAGAAGACTGCTCCTCAAACCCACCTTTCCGTAAAACAGTTTGTGCGCCCTTCTCGGTCTCATGGACTAATTGAGGGTTGGCAGTGCTAGTTTCAGTAGACTCAGAGCCACCCTTGAAAGCACCGAAACGACTGCTATAACGCTTCTCAACCAAAAGCTGAAGCTCTTTTGGCGCCATCGAACCAACCAGCTGCGCCGAATTTCCTTTAGAAAGCGCCTTTTTGACATCGAATAGATCCGCTAGAGTAGTCACCACTACCTGATCACTCTCACCATCAGCAACGACCTCGCCAACTCTGAATATCTTCTGACGGGAAACGTCGCTAGCCACTTGGCACACGTCGAGACACTGCTTCGATATTTTAAAATCTTCCTGCAGCCGCGATCTCTCATGGTTGTCTCTAGGGTCTCCGTTCATGACTAATAAATTTAGTCGTTTCTGAAAATGGTTGACGATCTCCGCCAAGCTCTTTTGGTTCTCATCCAGAGCTTCGCGCGCGAGCCGCTGCACTTCGAAGCGCTCTTGCACGGCATCTTCATCGGCAGCGTTTTGGGAGAAGTCTTGGAGTAGAATGGACTCTCGATTGGTCAATGATTCGATATAGGACCTTGCGTCTTCACAAATGCGAAGGCATTGCTTGGTAACTGCTCTCTCGTCTTTCAGATCTACGTCTCCACTCGAATTATCCCTATTTTCAGTGCTAAGTTGCGCTAATTTCTCGTCAATGCGCTGTAGATAGACCTTAAGATTGTATGACGTGTCCTTGATCATTTCGTTATACTCTTCAAGGACTTTGTGGGAGACTTTAGATGTACGCCTTGGAGGATGTTAGCAAGATTTGAAGTAGACAGGGAATTGCAACTAACATCGTAATAATACCTAGGCCGACTGAGATCGTGGCTTTATACCCTGCGATTTTATCTATAAAGTCGTTCATATCGCCCCTCATGAATTCCATTCTTTTCCAATCTCGAAAGCCTGTCTTTGACTTTCCACTGAAAACTTTCATAGAGTCCTCAAACTCGCGGCATAGTCGGCCGCATCGACCAACCGGACCTTCGAGAAGCGCCAGTACTGATGCGTCGGAATCGACCGCGTCTTTCAATGCATCAAGAATCCTGAGGAGATCTTCAAGCTCAGCTTGGAGTCTGTGTAAAGTTTTGTCGCGTTCTCTGAAGCGTCTGACAGTTTCCCGGAGCGAGTTTGTCGACTCAATGACGGCAGTAATAATAGCTACCACTGAGACAGTAATGCTTAAGGGGTCGGCCATTTCTATCGCTCACTGCGAGGTTTCTGTAATATTTGATGGCAAAGAGGGAGCAAGAAGAGCAGAAGTGAATGGTTGTAGCTGAAGTGGGGTGGGGCGAAGTTCAAATATTGCTGGCATCTACTGCCTGGCTATCAACCACTGTTACCCTTCAGCCTCCGTATTGGCTGAAGTTAGCGCCGTGTCCGCACTAAATTTGTGAGAGTCTCCTATCACATCGGCCAGCGCCAATCTACTTAGTAGGGTTATTCTAGGTGTTAAAGTCCCTGTACTGAGGGCTGGATTGTTAACCCGCCACTGAACCTTCTTAATGTCCGCAACGGAGCTGTGGGGACGTGGAGTGTATGGCAGGTTAATATTATCTTATCTCTAGGAGCTTACTTTAGCACCAGATTAGGGGTACTTTGTTATCACCTTTGCCTAGGTCAACTTTGCTAAATGCCCACTACATTTTAACTTGAGACTAGGGCGAAAGCTAGACCTATAGCTATCAGGCTATGGATGACACACTCAACCAGCTCTACCTTGGCTAGCCCTAACATATGTGCAAATCTATATTACATTAATAACAACAGTTAATTTTGGCCTGGCCAACAAAGACTAAAGTATATTAGGGAAGGCAAGGCAACTGTTACTCCACCAGGATATAGAGCTATTATGCTACTGTTCATACTGGTTCATAGAACCTAAACTAAGAAACTCCTAATAAAGGAAACCAACAGGTCTATATAATTAGTCTAGCCATACCTTAGCATCACCTAGTTCTTTCTCCTCATTTTCACTATGAGTAACACAAGTATTATATTTAGTTACTCAAAATAGGTTACCAGCTCTTGGAGAAATGAGTTGCATTAGGGGTGTTAAAGAAATAGTAGGACTCCCAGAGGATGGGAGTATGCAGAATAAAGCCTACACACAAGTATAGATGAAGGGGAGAATAGCACTTCATCTAGAGAGATTTGACGCACATCGGCAACTAGCTTCAGATATATCTAAAGATCCCTGTCCTTGTTCCACATCATTCTTGGTAATGCTCTTCGTATCACAGTTCATACGAGCAGGCACGGACGTGATTTTGTAATGAGAAGTATATAATCCTCGTAGCGATAGCCTTCAATTGCTAGCTAATAAAGCAGGAAAGCAAGACCATCAATGCCGCCAGGAATGAGGTGAACGGGTTTGAAGCAATGTCTGTCCTGCTGGATGATTACGGAGATAAGCTCGAGATTACTGAAGAGGTGATCAAGGCTGTAGCAGGAAATGAGCGGAGTGGAGCTGAGCTATCCTTTTAGCGCAAGGGAACCTATTGATAGATAATCACATAGTTTGGTTAGAGTGCACTAACTGAAGACTTGGTTGGACAGAGCTTGAGCTCGGACTCTAGATTCTGATAGTTGCCTGCATCACAGTAGAACTACAGTGAGCCTTTATAGAAAAAGACATCTTATCTCTGTGTTGAAGGATTTCGTTAATCACATCCTCACTATGCCGATTGATACTGCTCTTAGTTTATGGCATGTTTCAGACACAGGGGGTTGGACGTTTGGGTGGTACGTACCGCGAATATACGACCTGGATGTTGGGGAACTTCCCTTCCAACGGTTTTCGTACTCTTATGTCGTATGATTTTTCAGCAGCGGATTTAATAACACTGAACAATTCAAAATCATCATAAGCATCAACTGCCTTCTCCAGGACCTTTTCCTTGTCCAGTAAGGATGAGAAGATGAACCAGGTTGGCGTCATTGGGCGGCGGTGGCCAAGCTCATTCCAAATCCCCGGGACTCGTTCATCGTCCACCCGATAGACCGAAAGATCTGGGTGATCAGAAAACCCCCTAAAATCCCTCAAATCGCGGTCGCGGTACTTGTTAGCGTACACTCCAAGGGCGATTACGAGTGCATTGTCAGTCCTTTTGATGGATTCCCACTCCTGCTCATCCTCGAGGCTGCCAAAGTCAGCAGTGGAGCGAAATGTCAGATATAAGGACTTACTTATAGTACCTCTCCCGATCCATATTGAGGCTTTAATATGAATAGTTTCTGCACCAGGATGGAGAATAAACAAAATATCTCAAGCAATTGTACATTCAATAACCCGTTTAACAATATATAGTCAGAACCAAATTGGAGAGACTAGGAGCGGGGTCAAGGTGATGAGTGGGCAAAACACTTGTAGATAGCAGCCATGAAACTGGCCAGGCCCCTAGTCCTCCCTGCACTTTGAGAAGAAGCCATACCAGATATTCTCAGGTCTGAAGAAAGTGACCTCTCATCTGTTTTCCAATTTACGGCCCATGCTCAGCTGCGTCATATACAAACAGTTCAGATCTAAACTCGTGAATTCTGAACCAACACGTTCTTTCTCAAATCTAGTAGGACTTCAGCCATGCCAAAATAGGATCTCCTCAAGGCAGATAGAGAGATACTCGAACACAGCGTGACTGTTTACTGAGACGGATCTTTGAGATATCCACTCAATGTATGGGCCGCCAGGCGGAGCGCATATGCTCATTGAACGTTCAACTGAAGCTAAGTAACTTGGTAGTTATGTGATGGAAATGCATACTAGATTATGTTCCGTTACTAGCCTGCATCCGAGTGACCAATTGCGATTATGCTTCGCTATCCCAGTCGGGAAGCTGTCGCCAAGATTGCGGCACATATGTGGCAGACAACAGATGCTCGTGTTGGGAATTGCTTAGTTGTGAGGATGGCAAGGCTGTAACCTACTTTAAACTTGGGTAGCACTGCGATAGTGTGCACGAACCCCTTACATGGTTGCGATAGATTTACTGTAGAAATACCTAACTAATGGCGTTATTTACTAAAATCGAACCTTGGTGACTGGTGTTTGCCAGGTTTGCACATGGTAACACCAATGTAGTTAGACCATAACAGTGACTAGCTCCCTTCTCTTTGTACCTGATTAGGATCAAATAATTGATATCCAATTAACTACTGACGGCGAAGACAGTGTGCAGTGGTGGCTGCGAGGGAAAAGTCAACGCGGACGAAAGTGAACTTCAGCCTCTAATGATTTACTTTTTGCGAAAAGCCTCATATTCCTGGGATGTCTCATGCGCTTATCAGATATTCTTGTTGCGCTTGTATTTCCCCCTGTCTTCTAGCATGCATTCTCTGGCTCCTTGGGGTTTAGAGCAATCACTGTATCTCACATCCAGTTTCCCCTGCGAGGGGCAAGATTTCCGCAGCGTCGCGTAAACATCGTCATTACCAGTTTGTATTCCTGTGTGCTTGTCCTTGTATCTAACGAATCACAGCAGAGCGCCGAGCAGGCAGACGAATCACATAAAAGCTTCAGATATGCATAATAAAGCCTTAGGTCAATATCTACTGCCATGGCTGGACATTTTATATATAGCCCATATAGCGGGCTGTAAGCGCTGAAAAGTGGACGTTTCATACAGACATGATATGAGTGACTGTACCTATCGCAGTGAATGTCATTGCTGGTAGCCAGATCTATCTTGCCCAGTCCAGAAACCGCTTTGAGAGATGGTTTGGATTTGACGTAGTTGTCATAAATGCTCAGGGGACCATTGGCTAGCTCTAGGGATTCAGGAATCCCTCCTGCTTCCATCTCAATATATATTTCATCAACAGTCCCTCATCAATTGGTCCCTGTTGCCGCAGCGTCTCCGAATGCCTCCTGGCCTTGCCCGTATCCAAGACCAAACCGCCGCACGACATAGGCACGAAATAATGATCAAAGAACTCGATCAACTGCAACGCCGGATTATCACTCACACCGGCCCGGAACCTCCTGACGCGATCTACCCAAGTGTCATACGGCACGATACCTTCCTCACTAATTCCCAGCGCCCGTGCCAACATCCCAATCATCTCATTCCATTCCTGGCGAGACGGGTTATCGATATGGTAGATCAGATCTGTCGATATTTCGGTGAGGAGCAGTTCGCCCAGTGTAGCCGCTACATCGTTCACCGGATACCACGAGAGCGTACCCTCGAGGTCCGGCAGGAGCCGGAGCACCTGTGATGACTTGATCAGGAAGGGCATGTACTCGGTTGGATTCCAGTACCCGTTGGACGTCGAGCCGGCGATTTGGGCGACGCGGACGGCCATCGCGTGGAAGAATTCCGGATACTGATACAAAGTCTGAGCCAGCATTCGCTCGACGACGAGTTTCGCCTCTGCGTAGCCCGTTCCTGGGAGGGAGGCGATTGTGCCTGGTTCCTCCGGGACGAGTGGGGTTCCCGTCCAGAGTGGGTAATTGGCGATGACGGCGCTGGAGGAAACAAATTGGAAGCCGAGCTTGAAGGGGGCGGGGCGCAGCTCGACCACGTCCGTGCCGAGGGCGAGTAGGTTGCGGGCGGTCTTGAATTGCGTCTCGTAGGTGCGGATGGGTCGTGTCAGGCTCATGGGCCAAGCGCTGTGGACTATGTGGGTGACGGTGCGAGTGAGGTGGGTGTAGGTCTCAGGCGATAAGCCGAGGTGAGGTTTGCTGGTGTCGCTTTCAAGCACTTGGAGCTTCGACAGAGATGTCGCGTCGAGTGTGATCCCACGCATTTCGAGGGAGGCGCGCTGCCGTTGGGCTGCGTCGACGGTGCTGACCCGGTTGAGGCAGATGACAGTGCTTATGTCCGGGCGCCGGGCGAAATAGGCTACGATGTGGGAACCCAGACTGCCCGTGGCGCCGGTGACCAGCACACATTGTTTTGTGCTCGGGGATGAATTGCCCATGGCTGCGCGGGGCCGTGATGGGGGGACAAAGCCGTTGGTGTACTTGATGACATACTCGTCAATGATGGCGCCGCGCTCTGGGTCATCTGCGGTCAATTGGGATTCTGAAGTGGGATGCAAAGCAGGTTTCGGCGCTCGATCGTACCTGGTCCCAGAAGCATGAGCAATAATAAGGCGCTGGATATTGGCTTCCGGAAGGTCTCCGGCCGTCCAGTCGACATGGCCATATCCCACCGAGTGCAGCACTCGCTCCCAATAGCTGGCGGGCTGGAGGACATAACTTCGTCCGTCCTCGAACAGCCACCAACCCTCGATGAATCCGAAGACAAAATCCACCCAAGGCACCTGCTGCGTCATCTCGAGCATGACCAGGAAGCCTTCCGGCTGCAGGATCCGATGCAGGTTCTTTAGGGAGACGGCCAGATCCCTCGTGGCGTGGACACAGTTAGTGGCGAGGACGATGTGCTGGCTTTCGAGCAATTTCGCGTCCGGCTCGGTTTCCATGTTCAGTACCTTGAACTCCATGAACGGATATTGCTTGAAGCGCTTGCGTGCAGCAGCGATCAGTGAGCCAGAGATGTCGGTCATGGTATACTTGACGGGGACACCGAGTTTAGCGAGCAGGGGCACAATCTTGCTTGTTGTGCCTCCAGTCCCCGCGCCAATTTCGAGGATACAGATGGGCGCTCCCGTCCGCGGAAGTTGACCGAGCAGCTGTAGTAGAAAGTCGGCAAGTTGCTGGATCCAGACGGTATTGATAGGTGATTTGGCATACATCTCCGACGCGATCTCGCGGGCTTCAGGAGTGCCGAAGACCAGCTGCAGACCATCCTCCTTGCCCGTAATCAAGTCTGCAAACTTGGCTCCCACCAGAGCCGTGAGCCTGTGTTCGGCGGCGTGAACTGGCTCGTCGTGCAGGAGCTTTGCGAGTAGTGCCTCCGCCGAGATGGCGGGTGGCGCAACAGCGGTGCGCGTGATTTCCGCGCCGTTGATATCGATCAGGCGCGCCTCCGTTTCCAGAAGGCCATAGATCAGGTTCATAAACTTTGCATGCTTGGGGTGGTATGGAATGGGCTCGAGGCGTTGGCCGGGCGCTGCGGACCGGATAGAGCAGCCCAGTTGCTCGAATGCGTCAACGATATATCTGATACAGAGCTCAGTGGATCTCGGCATGACCTCTTTGTAATAGTTTGCGAGGCGGCCCTTGACGATGGCGTCGTCCGTAGTCCATTTGAAATCACTGAAGGTGTCTCGGACCCTGGATGTCGTGAACGTGGCGTGGCCGTCGTTACCATTCGTATGGACACCATTTCGGTCAACTCCGTTAATGCCATTGACTCCATTGACTCCATTGACTCCATTGACTCCATTGACTCCGTTGGCACCATTGGTACCGTTGACGTGAACAGTACCATTTGTGCCAGCAGCGGCTTCTGCTGACACTTCGTCCGCATCATCATCATCATCACCAAGCCCTAGCGTAGACTGAATGCACCTAACCAGGCTCTTAAAGTCGGTCAGTTCCATCAGCTGCTCATTCTGAAGCGTGCATTTAAATGCAGCCTGTACCTCGCGTACCAGCTCCATTGCCATGAGAGAATCAATGCCCAGCTCAATCAGGTCGGAGTCGTTCTGAATCTCTTCGGGTTCCAGCCCGGACAGATTGCAGATTATTTCGCGGGTTTTGACCCAGACGTCCCCTCCTGGCAGCTTGGCTGCTTTCTTCTTTACAGGTTCATTCACCGGCTCTGGATAGGATGGTGAAGCTGAGGGAGGGGACTCTCTGACGGGAGGAATTGATGAAGGAGTCATTGACACAGACAGAGGGATACCAGCAGAAGCAGGAGCAGGTGTCTGCTCGGCGGCACGGCTTAAAACTTTTCGAATAGATTCCATTGGTACCTTCTGATACGAGAGGCCCAGAATCGCTTCGACCAATGATCCATCGCGAGGATCAAACGCAAACACGTCGCTGACATACTTAGTCTCAGACTCCTGGTGGTGAACCGCGAAGACCTCCCAGTGATCTGACAGCGCAGACGTTGTACCCAGCCGGGGCCTACGAATCCATCTGGAGATCCCATCGCAGACAAAGATGCCGCGGTCATCCAGATCCGACGAGTGGGTCATCAAGTTGACAAAGATACCAGCGACCTGGCAGAAGCACTCGGTCAGAACGGGGTCGATCCACGCTTCCTCCTGGTAGGATTTGATGACCTGGCCAGCTGACTCGTTCTCTGTTCCTGCGATCTTGGTAACGCGGCGGAACGGTTTCCCGTATTTTACCACC